GCCGCCGCTCCTCCAGCCACCATGAGCAGCGCCCTTTCGGCAGTGCTGGGACCTGCCGTGCCCGAGATAAAGATCAAAGAGGAAGTGGAACCCATGGACATAATGCGACCAGTATCTGGTAGGCTGTTGTTCAGCATCAAGTTGTTTGTCTCTCCCAAGAAACTGGGGGATTTCAACACGTCCATTCAAAATGGACTTGGTATGGGTGATGTGACTGGGGTATGAAGTGCAAGATGAATAGAGTATGAGGCCCGGTAAATGGAAAAGAAAGATTTAGTTTTTAGTTAAGCTTGGGTACCTTTAATGAACTTGGGGTCAGTTTTGAGCTCCTAGAAAGAAAGGGCATTACAATGTGTATGAGGCAATTCTTTTTGCAAGGTACGAGAGTTGCAGAGTAGCAACTAGATTCCTTCCTCCTTGAAACTGCTTTGTCCTTTCATCAGTCTGTAATGAAATCACTTGGTATTTGGGACTACTGCTTTGTTCATGCTTAATTTCAGTCTTCTCACAAGTTCTGATGTTCGGTTTCAAGGGCTTCCTTGCATGTGAAGGATTGGTGACCAGGCTGGTACCTTAATATGGCACTACTGCAATTCATGGATATTTTATCTTGAGTTTTTTGTAATACACAAATTGGTTGCCTTGCTACACAAATTGTCATCATTGTAGTTGTCACCAGCCAAGATTACTAATCTTAAGTCCTTAACGGATCTTGGCACACAGACCATAGAGTGACAAAGCAGTATGTATGTGTCCCACGTTCATGGGTAACATGGTATCAAAGTTCTGTTTTATGTGATTGTTTCATGGTCCTCCATAAAGCTGTGCTGGAGGAAACCGCTTACCTGAGATGTCTGTGGAGTACAGCTAGATATAATTTAGCTCTTCAGGGTCCCCTTGTCTTTTCTTGACCATGTGGGGTATTCCAAGTTCTAAAGATCTCATTGCAGAGATTTTCTGCTGTAGATTGTGGCATACTTGCCCGAGCTGCTGCTGATGGAGCTTTTTCCCCCTGGGTGTCTGCCACTGCTGCCCAACCTCAGTGGTGTGTTGACTTGTACAGTAACTGACTGACATCGTGCTGTTGACTTGGCAGCCTAAGTATGCTCTTGCAGGTCTATGTGACTACATGCAACCACTGTTCAGAGATACTGCAGAAACAGCAGTAGCACCTTTGCACTACTGATAGTTTGTTGTTGTTCTTTCCTGTATCTCAGCAGTCCCTCCTTTGACTACAAGTACCGTGTCTCCATCTCTGGCATTGCTGGCCAACAACCTTTCAATGCCACCAAGTGATTTACCTCCTGGTGCCTCCCCAAGGAAGAAACCCCGCAAGCAGCAGCACGTGATCTCCACAGAGGAGGGAGACATGATGGAAACAAACAGCACTGATGATGAGAAATCCACTGCCAAAAGTTTGCTGGTGAAGGCAGAGAAGCGCAAGTCTCCTCCAAAGGAGTATATAGGTAATGTCATCTAATGACTTGTTTTTCCCCTCCACTCAGGTGCTTACGTTTTCTTTTCCCTTTCTTTCTCAAAGAATGTGCTTTGTCATTTCTGCCCACTTCAAAACTAAGACAGAATCTAAGTACCTCTTCTTTGCATATTGAAGTTCAGGGGCCATGTCCTTCTCAACTCACAGAGCATTCTCTGTATGAAGTGGTGCTCATGGATCTTTTGCTAGGGTTATTGGATCATAACTGTTGCCTACATTTTCCCTACCTCCTATTATTTGATGCTCACCGTTGTTCTTCCTGGATTCTTCTTCCTAGATGAAGAAGGCGTAAGGTATGTCCCTGTGCGTCCAAGGCCGCCTATCACACTGCTCCGCCAGTACCGCAATCCTTGGAAATCCGCCTATCACCACTTCCAGAGATACAGCGATGTCCGGGTAAAAGGTCAGTCCTTGCCGTGTGATTGGAGTTTTCACTCATCCTGGATAAACAGCTTTGGTCTAGCAGGAAATGGTGTTTTGGGAGCACTCTTAACAAGCTAAACCTGGCATGCAGCCTCCCAAATAGTTTTTCCTTGCAATTCAGAAACAAGGGTTGGTCAAGTGAGCTGGTGAAAGACTCTAGGCATTGCCTGAACCTGCCTCCAGCTTTCAAGATGGAGGATACAAGAAGGAGAGACCTTAACTAGAATCAGCCATTACAGAATTACCCATAAACTTGTAAGAGGAAAAAGTATATACCTTATGTCTATTGACATTGCCATGATAAAAACTTCCCTTTAAAAATATAGCGATATGCTATATGCTTTTTTTTTTTCCTTCTAATTACTACTTAATGAAACATCCTGGATTTAGAGTAACAAGTATTGTCAACTGTGAAATGCTCTTGTCCCTCCCTTTTTTTTAAAAGAGAAAAAAGGACCTTAAGATGAAGGAAATAGGGATCAGTCACTGTTTAAGGGCCTTTTTTTTTCTTTACCTATTTTTAGAGTTTTTAAGCTTTTATTTTATTTAACTGTGTAAGAACGTCCAGGAGGGAGCAGATGTACATTTCAGTGGTATAAGACAAACTGCAGTTTTCTTGCAGGGCATTTGAAGCACTGAGCAGTGCATTTTTAAAACATGAAAATACAGAATTACACAATAATAGAAGCTAGTTCTACTGGGCACAGCTTTTTTTTTTTTTTTTTTGGAAGTCCAGATGATGTGTAGATAAATGAAGGCAGCTTCCACATATGTGGTAGATGAATAGATATTTTAGTGTCCGAATAGAAAATGTCGTTCATTCCCATTTATTGGGACATGTGGAGAGTGGGAGTTGAATTAATATTTTTGTTCATAGAAGCGTGGCAGACTTCTGTTCTCAGTGTAAATAATATATCTTTGTATTTTTTGGAGATAGAAGAGAAAAAGGCCATGCTGCAAGAGATTGCCAATCAGAAGGGTGTATCCTGTCGTGCCCAAGGGTGGAAGGTCCATCTATGTGCGGCGCAACTACTGCAGCTGGTAGGTGAATGTGACTTGTCAGCTCCCTACAACGTGGGGGAACACAAAACGCTGTAGGGCAGGATGGTTTCTTGCAAACTCAGTACATGCTCATCTGACACTGGGATACCAGAGAAGCTGGTGTGTAGTGCCCAAAGGGAGTGGGAGATGCTTTCCCCTTTCTCAGGAATGTGGCGTAAGTGGCTTGGAAACTTGAGAGTGTTGATTTTGATCCAGACATAAGAGCTGATGTATTTTGTACAGATGATCAAAATTGGCAACTCCCTCCTGCTGATGCACAGGTCTGAAGAAGCGTCTGTTTGGGATGGTGCGGCTGATCTGAGGAGGCAGCACTGATCCACATTCCTGGATGCTTCTGTTTCAGGTTGGGGGTGAGGTAGGTGCTCTGCATTCTAGCACCAAACTCCCCAAAACCTCTGCATTCCTGGAATAGTATTGTGAGAAACAGGGGAAGCACTTCTGGTTAGGATCCATGTTTGTTCAGAAATGGAGCAATCCTGTAAACAGGACATTAGTAAGAATAGTGCCACACTTTACCTCAAAGGCTCCATCTTCTGAATTACTAACATGAGCAGCTGAGAGGGGAACAGATTTATCATCATTTTTGCTGTGTAGCTTTCTTAATGTGGGCGAATGTTTTCTGGCCTGGTGACAACCCTTCTTATGAAGTGCTGATGTCTTTTAGACAAACTTGGAGCACGATGTGTATGAGAGACTGACTGCCCTACAGGAGGGCCTCATTCCCAAGAAGAAAGCAGCAACTGATGATGACTTGCATCGAATAAATGAACTGATACAGGTAGGTTCCTGTGACTCAGCTGCTCAGCCCAATGTACTTGATTTACCCTTAATTACAAAATTTCCTATTGCAGTTAAGAGCTAGAGATTACTTTTCTAAAAAAAGAATTAAAGATGCATTTCCAGTGTTTCAAGTCTCATTTAAAGATGGTATTACGAGAAGGTAATTACTTAGACTAGATGATCTGCTGTTAATGACAAGAGTGTTTCGTTTCAGGGGAATATGCAGAGATGCAAACTGGTGATGGATCAAATCAATGAAGCTCGAGACTCCATGTTAAAGGTGTTGGATCACAAAGATCGTGTTCTGAAGCTTCTAAACAAGAATGGAACTGTCAAGAAAGTATCCAAATTAAAGCGGAAGGAGAAGGTTTAAAGCCAGAATAATGACTCTGGAAATGGAGAAATGTGTACAGAATGGAGTTTAAACTTTTTGTAGTTTGGGTTTATTTTTAAGCAAAGCATCTGAATAAAAAGGGTGAGTTTAAGGGAACAGATGACAACAGATGGACATGGGAAGCCTGGTGACCTGAAGGGATTGTGAGCAATCTGTCATAATGAACAAAGATTTCTCAGGCTCATCCATTTTTAAACTCTTTGCAGTCCCATTTGTTTAATCTTTCTGATGTGTCAGTGCCTACTAATTGGAACTAGTGATGCAATGTGTGGTGGACTGTGCCCTCCTGTTTTGCAGCTTAGGGGTAAATTACAGGTGTGTGCACACCCTGTGTGTGTGCGCACAGGAATCTCCACAGGGGACAATGAGAAGCTGGCATACACACGAGCCCAGGCAAAGCATTGAAAAAGTCACCACTTTCAGTTATCGACCCGGTTCTTTTTCCGACCTTCCACTGTCTGAAGTAGCCTTCTTAAACCAGTGCCACTGCACTAGATCTGCCACAGATAGAATCTCCAGTGGTTCAGTCCTAGCTGTCAATTTAGAAAAACAAAAAAGGAGAAGAAAAAAGTGTGCGGGGAATCATTTCAAAGTGATTTTTGTAGTGTCTGTGTGTTTGTCTATGTTGGTGCCCTGGGATACCTGTTATGAAGTATGTCTTGCAGCAAAGTACTTCCTGTAGCTGGTGTGATGTTAACTGTATGTACCATATACATCCGAAGACATTAATAAAGGACTTGGAGGTTTTTGTACATAAGCAGTTTGTATACCTTTATATACCAGCAGTCACTATGTAGACTCAAATTAAAGCCTTGAGGTTTTAACCTTGAAGTGAGGTGTAGGAAAGTACTCAGCCTCTTGCTGCAGAAAGTCAGCTCCTTTTAGCTCCTCAAGCTGTGCAGTTGCTTTCCCCTTTCCCATGCACACTTAACCCCGAATTTTCATAAAGAGGGTCTCATCAGTTTTTCATATTACTTTTATTTTTTACTTTTAAACAAAAATGTACTACTTAAAGTGAAGTTCACCATATCATTATCTCAATTGTATTTATCAAAGTTAAATTATGATATGCAATCGGCTAGTTTCTGTAGCTGGAGGAAAAACATCACTGAAACCTTTCAAGCCCAAGGGGGGCAGGTAAGTATGTGCATTGAAGGACAAGATACTTCAGCACCCTACACACTAAAAGGCAAGAGGTAAGCCTTTGAAAGGCAAGAATCCATTTCTCTCCTGCTGTTTGTCACTACTCCTTGTTATGCCTTTTTTGTGCTTCAGACGATGGTAGCCCTCACAAGTGGTGGAACATGCACAACCTCCTCCATTAGTGCTCTAAAGTCTCATGTTAATGGAACAGTGACATCTCTAACGATGACCTTGAGTCCCAGTTTCATAAACAGGCTCTAACTACTTGATTCACTCTTGTCAATGTGCTTCTTGCAGGGTTCAGAAGTGTTTTTTCACTGTTGGCAGAAACCCTTTGCAAGAAATCCTAGGCTTATTTTCAGTAAAGGGAGGGAGGGGCTGGTAGGGGGAAGTGGAGGATGCTTTCAAGGGCAAAGGCCTTTCCTTTAAAAGCATTATAATGCTTTTAAGTTAAAATACTGCTCTTAATCCTTTATGTTAGGGCACTCTCTCATATCACTTTCCTTAATAGGATTCCTGTACTGACCCTGACTAGACTTTTATATAAACTGGCATTCAAATATATTATCTAGCTATAAGCACCATCATCCTGGAATAGTAATTTCAGCGTCCTCTTTGTGCTGAGACTGTTTCACTGCTCAGTATCAAGGAGGAAGGAATTTGCTGCACCTTAACTGGGTTCTGTAAAGTGGTCGCTTTTTACCTTTCCCCGGCTGGAAAGCAGCAGCGGTCGCCGCTGCAGCAGCGCTCCTCCGGCCCTCAGCATAAGACAAGCCCTTCCCTCCGCGGCCGGGCGGCGCCGCTGGGAGCCGCGGGAGGCCCGAGGCCCC